ATACCCAACGTAAAATTCGGCGTTCCCTGGTCCTCTGTGTTACAGACTACCTTACCTTGCGTTATTTTTGGGTCCCTCCTAATAACTACTTAATCCACTACCGAAGACTGGTTCGATTTGTAACAGTAGTTTACATATCTTTCCACGTGTAACGACCGATTGTTTAAAACAGTCCTTTTGGTTCCTCCCCTCCCCCTTCGGAAATCGGGTCACGTGGACACGAGACGACGCCTACCGCCGCACTCGCCGCCAAGTCCCCATTTTCTTACTGTTGGCATTTTCAGAACTGATTACTTGCTACGCTTATCGTTTTATTCCATACGTAGACGCTCTTTTTCGCTGATTTCGTTTTTCCGGTTCAATAAATTGACTTGTATCCTTGATATTGTTTTACTATTTCTGTTCATACCGCTTCTGTCATTAGAGTTGACTGCTGCAAACATATTTTTACTACCAACCTCGATAACCTTTTGATAATAAACCCTTTATAACCAATTCGATCATTCGCTACTATGTATACGCCACCCTTATCCTTTGCCAGTGTGTATGAGGGAGTAACGCAACTTTTAAAGGAAATATCTCTGACTTCTCGTCAGAAACAACCGAAACCGTTGTGATCGGCGACAGACCCCGACGAACCTCCACACGCTAACAGGATCACGGTAACTGGTAGTGTCTAATGTTGGCCTTCCAGAGTGTGAATTTAGAAATTATCTTAGATCTGGGCGGTCATTGTTAGGTTTTTAAGCATTTTTATCCCGCGCACAGTCTTACTTTTTACGATAACAAGAGTTTTTCGCGAATATTAAAAGTTGGAGAAGGAATTTACGAAAGTGGTAATATAAAACACCAATTACCTTCCGCAGAGCCTCTTAAAGTGCGCAGTAGAATTATTGCTCGTCAAGGCACTCCAAATTCAGTTGCTTGGCTGAGCAACCCTGAATTTTCTCCCCATCAACAAAGAATGGGCGCGGTAAAGCCTTTCTCCATAACACTTGGCGCGATTAAACTAATGGTCAGTTTTATAATCTCCCCGTAGTCGAAATGTCAGTGGTGCGGGAGCAGTTGTATGCAGATTATTTTTTGTTAAAACATTGCAGAAATACAAATCTAGAAAAGCACTAAACCTCCAAATCCAGCATAACGAGTATTAACTTATCGGGTCTTGTTAGGAGGTAATTCAATCGTCGATTCCGACGACGTCTACAGAGTGCCCCACAGCACAGTGGGCGAAGAGACAATAACTAACGCGGTCCGGCGTCAAAACAGAGTCAAAAAGAACCATTACATAACAAATATCGTCATTCATAGATATTTTGGCAGATTTTGAATAATCCATATTGACCCAACTGTGAAAAACTTGCGCCTCGGTGGAATTCAAACCCACGCAGTAAGGGGAAGGCTTTAGTACAGCCAACGCTCGAACCAATTGATCTACGAGGCTCCTGTCATTGTCAAGGGAACAGTGAAAAAATGTGAATTTTTTTGTTTAGGAAGATACAATCAAACTTAGGTCCCTCCACCCGGTCAGGTCTCCAATAAAATGGTATTTTTATAAATTCTGACACAATGAGCATGGTTGCGAACAGACTTCAAAGGGCGATCAGCAAAAAATCCATGCTACTGGCCAGATGTTCGATTAAAATATGTCTAAGGAAAAGAAATTTAAAAGGGAAGATTCAGTCGCTGTGGCAATAACAAAAGTGATAAATTGAACTGCTAATTACAAATGAGTAAGACAGTGTTTACTGCATTCTTTGTTGCAATTTGTGTTATGCCCAAGTGTTGTGTTGATACGATTAGTGCTTCTCGGATATTTGCAATGCTATTCAAATACGTATGACAGCCAATTGATTAACCAGGGCTTTTGTTGTAAATATAAACCGTCCCACGATAGGGGATTCGATTTTTTACACTCACAGACTAACTATACGTTGGATATGTAGAAGAACATGCGTTACTCTAATGCACAAGAAAACGCTTATCACAATTTGAGGCAAATTGTCCGACGCTATCTGGCTAGGGACCGTGGGGTCGGTAAGCATTGTTAACTAGAGGAATGAAAACTGATACAACAAAATTGGCCTAAAGGTTAAAAGTAAACATCTTTAATACCTCGTCGATTTAAACCTACCATTCCAAAAGATAATCTTCCTTAAGATGAAATTGTTATTGAGCCTGCAGAAATATGTGTCTGAGTCAACATCACCACGCTTTACCCGCAGAGCGTAGATTGCCATATCACCAACAATTTTCAATTCTATTAAACGCATAGAAAGCATCATGAAATGGCATGCTTTTTCGGCTGAAATTCAGGAATGTTACATACGTATCATTATTAATAATATATGCGCAAAGGTAACGACATCTGTTTGGAACTTTGCTGTCTGTATTGGCTATGAACTGCTCACACGAGTTTCATGAGCCTCTCTGATAAAGCAGTGAACCTATATACGTTTACAGTTAACAAGTCACTAGGCGTATGATTGGTATTTAAGCCTAGTGCGATTTCTGGAGATAAGGTTCCTACTACAAAATAAAATCAAACGAGGCTCAGAGAGCTAAAAGGAGATAAATGTGTCCAATATTGCACAATCAATAAGGTCGTTTGTGTTAGTCGGTGGGAAGTGAAACTTGATACATCCTACTGCTCTGCTCGGGTAAAGGATGCGGCCTAGAAGTTGCGCTCTCAACTCAACTACAGTTAGCACACTGAAAGTGCTTAAGTTTCAGTATTTCAACAAAAAGTATTTGGTTCATGGTATGAAGACACAAACAAGTAAATCAACTTCGTCCTGACGATTTGGATTTGCTAATTGGCTGCCGGCATTCGAAAACATGCAACATCAAACCATAAAGAAAACCAAAAACCCGATCAATATTTTGAAAATTATCCATATCATTTATCTCTAATTCATCTGCTTCTCTGGGAGTCATAGTTCGATAAATGCGCGGATGCACTAGACCGTGGTTGACCAGTCAGTTATCGGGCGTGTCAGCGGCTTAATTGGGTTAAATCTCAACGAGCAGATATAGATCCCGGATGTTATAGGAAAGTCGTCAGTGTGTTTATTGGAACTGTCATGCTACAGGAATGTACTGATTTAACGATGGCAAGAATGAGCACAGAATCAGCATTTCAAACAGACAAGGAGACCGTCAGATGGTTTAAAGTCAGTCATTTTGTCAACAGAGGCTTAAAGCCCGTATGACAGCGCAGAGGATTAAACGGTTATGCCCGCGAAAGACCGATGATAGTGTTGGGCCTTCGGTCAGCTGGATGGGCCAACGTCCAGCAGCTGCCGGCCAGCGCCCGCTCAGCGGCCAGTATTACAGACAGAAACAAAGGAGACTGGAATTACCAGGTCTAGTTTACTAGCTACTATCAGCCGGTCCTGCTAAACCCAAGGTTTGACCGTACTTGCGGCTCAAACCTGAGCTCTGCTGGTTAGTAATTTGAGCTTTTATAAGCATTAAGTCACGGTCTTCTTGTCCTTTCAGTTACGACCGGTTAGAGCTTCGTTTAGAACGTTGGGTTTATAATCCAAGCAGCGGGCGTTTGAGCCTCAGTCACAATCAAACCTGGAGTTAGGTGGGACCGTTCAAGTCTCCCTCACTCCTGTTAATAGTCTCCGATCTGCATTTATCACTTATCTCTATGCGACTGCTGTCAGGGCTTTAACTAGCATCCCCGAGCACCATGGTTGACCCGTGAGGCAATAGATGAGCTCCCCTCTACCATAATTTGATGTTTGTTGATTTGTGCTTGGGTCGCAAACACCCGTTACCCGCTCGCACACAGCCAGATTCACGGGGAAGACTGAACGCAAGCTGGCGATGATGTCCTGCTTAAGCATATAGAATAATGGCAGTCCAACCCTAGTCATCACTATTTGGCGGAGGAGACAGACATGCCGAAATTTAAAATCACAAGTATGGGCAAATGAACGTCGATGGTGGATGGCGGAGAACTCAACACGAAAAGCCTTTTCTGCGATTTATACACAGATCTTGTAAATAAAACAGGTATAAACACGGTCATTTATTTATCGCAAAATGCAACTTGCGGCAAGTAGTAGATTCTTGAAGAGGCACAGGGTAGTCACAAATGTCGTTCCCTGCTCTGCATCTCATCTGAAAATAAATTATCACGCTCTGTTTTCGATCACAATACTTCTGGCACGAAATCACTATTTGGGCATACCAGTGGTTAGTAATTGCCATCTAGTGATTGGAAGACATTCGATATTAGATTCACGTGGTTCAGCTTCTGACGAATAAGTTACCTATTAGCCATACTACCTTTCGTGGGGAAGATTTATTTTGGAAATCTAGTGAGAGATCTTACTCAGCCAAGTTTTACGTTATAATGATTGCTGTGTAACAGTCAGCAAGATGGCAAATTATACCCAAACCCTTTAGTCGGAAAGATACAACTCTGTCCGTTATTTTATAAACCTCCAAAAGAACTTAGGGCTGGCAACCTAAAACTTGCAACGTCAAATTAACTTAAAAATCCAGACATGAGACTATATTCTAGGCGGAGATTGGCACAATCGGTACTTCTGCCTAACTTTTATTGTCACAATTTTGGAGCTCCAATTGCAAATCTGTTAGTTGGGATCTACGTTGGCTAGGTAAGACGATGGGACAAAGTGGTTGCGTGAATGGAATATGGAACAAATGCCACAAAATGAACTTAGTTAATCTTTCTTCCACTCTCATGTAGAGGCGACCATCGCTCGGCATGACGAAAACCAAACTACCCGTATGCACGTGCGCGGCATTACCAGAGCTGACAAGATGATGGAAATTTGCATGGGACTGTGTCGCCTTAAGCTTTTCTCCTCTAGTTAATAATCCGGGCCAAGTGACTGCGGCTCCAAGCGGCAGGAGAAGAAGCACCGCAACCTCTAGGACAGCCAATCACAGGCGCCCACAAACTCCGCAATCACCCTATCAAATCACCAAACTGGCAATGACTGACACCCATGTGACTCTTATGCAGTCACGCCCACATAATTGTGGAGGACGGACGCACGTGCAGGCTCACAGTCGGCCGCGGTTGGGGGCTCTGACCACCACTGAGTTTCTGCACATAATACATAACTTCCACCGGTGCCCGCCGCCGCCTCCGCCTCCGCCGCCTCCTCCTCCTCCTCCTCCTCCACCTCCTCCTCCTTCGCCTTCTCTTAAGAGGAACTGGGTCGTGCTCACTATAGCGTTCTGGGTACACTCACTACTCTAGACGCTACAGCCCCATGGTAATACCTCTCGCGATGTCCGATGTCACAGGATTCCTAGATTAGAATCTGGAGGTTTTCACACCTGCGACTTTTCTCTTTAATCAAACAAAGAAGATAGCAATTGTCCAACTCTCAGCCCAAACAATCTTTCCAAAATCTGTAGCCGTCTTCTCAGTTTAAAAACCATGCGGGGCAGCAAAGTAAATCGTGATGATGCCAGGCTGAGACTTTCTCTAAAAATTTCGGGATCGTCACCTGTGCGATTGTGAGCATGCGGGCAGTCTTGCAGGTGTGCTTTTTATGCTGACGAGAAATAGCCAAATTGCGTCAGGCTAAAAATATCGAGCTTCCAAATACCGTTCCGGGTGAAATTCGTCAACCTAAGACCGCCCTTGCAACCTATTCTGCATTGTCCACACGCATCGGAACGCCATAAGTAAGAGGACCTGTTAGATTAGAGATAAGAAATTAGCCTAGGAGAAATGGGCCTCCATTATTATCCTCTGACAAAGCATTCAGTTTCATTGAACATAGTCAGTAGTATTAGTTGCAAAAACTCCTCCGTGATCCTAAGGAGAGGGAATGACAAATTCATGCGCAGATCGGGAGAAAATATGCGGTAGTGCACGTAGCACGATCTTCATTTAAATAACTGGACGTAATTCCAAGAGAAAAGAGTGCAAAGTCAAGGATGCCTGATTCTCGATTAGACAACGGAAACATCCTGTTCCTATTCTGAAGGCACAGTATTTATGATATGGATGGCTGCAGCACGTTTAGGCTTTTAAAATGACAATAAGAGAAAGTCCTACAACAAAACTGCGGATGATTTTCAACAAAACAGTGCTTGTTGTATGCCGTTTAAAGTTGAAATACTGAGCAAGCAAGAAAGACTGAGATGCATATTACGGAGGCAAGGCTACTTGCTGTGAAGGTTTTTGACAAATAAGAAAATTAAAGCGATTTTATTTAAGCAAAAAAAACAAAAAACGGCAAACACTTGATAGCAACGTACACTTGTAATGTTTGTCTGCTTTGTGTCCACGATAAAGTAGAGCATAACTTCATTGTCGCTTATTAAACCATCCATCTGATGGTACATGAAGCGTTCTAGACGAAACAAAATATGCACATCGTCACCGCTTGCTAAGCAGGGTAAAACACCATAATAGAAAAACTGGAGTTCTTTTCGTTGAAGTTATGCTAGTACTGTTAGTGGGACATCTAAGTTCATCTGTAAGACAAGAAAAATACTCTGCTTATGCTGACTCTGGAATCAAGTCTTCTTAAAATTTTTTAATTGTCTGTCATATGCTCAAATGAACCCCTTACAGACTGCCGAATGAAAATGCCGCGAAATGCTATTCGGCACCCAACAGGAGCAAAACACTTTGTTTTTTGCCGGAAAACATTAGTTATCCCGAGGTTGCTCCAGAAAACCACCGAAACCTCCTTGACAATCGAACTATAAACTCTATGTCTCTTAGTTATTTCGCAAAAGTATGTAAACATTAATAAGATGTTTTCTTGACGTTTAATAAAAGTGACCGGATTTCGTTTGTTATATTCAAGCAACTCGCTGTTAAATAGGTAAGAATTCATAATTAATTGCTGCTTTAGTGTTGAATATAAAATCAGATTTGTAGTATCTTTACTTCATAAATGTGCATAATAAATTTTTAGTCAAAACTAATTTAATTTTCAAATTTGCAAAAAAATCAAGGCCATTTATTTCTACAAGGTACAGCGAAAATTAGAAAGCAATGAATTTTCACGGAAATCATACGTGTGGTTGTGAAAGCCGTGCTGCCGTGGACTGCATTACAAAAATGAACATATTTTTTAAGTCTTTGAAAAACTCAAAACAAGTGAAAAGTCAGCTAGAAACAAAAGCAGAGCAGAGGCAATTGGTTAGTCATCGTTAACAGTGATTAAAAATACTGAAGATAAGGACTACTTGGTCTTGTAGGAATATTATGTTCCAATACGTCGAATAGTATAAAACATATCCATTTATATAAGACCGGTGATCATACCATGGAAAGTTCCCTCTAAAAGAGATTATATTTGCTTTATAATGTGAGGAATCCATACGTTTTAGACAAATGCGGACTTGATTTTCCTGAATGAATATTCTGCTATTTCGTATACCAAAGGAGAAAGAAATTTCAAAAATAATGTTTTCGGACAAATTTCTGCTACTTGTAGAGGCTGCTTTAGGTACTCGTTCAATTAGGTTCTTTCCATTTCGAGAGAAGCCGTGCAATTTATGTTTCGACCTAGAATAGGCACATTCCTCCGTAATTTTATGTATTTGCTCTTATATCTTCTGTCAAGAATTAAGAAATTAGAAATTGGAGAATTTCAGTCACCCACCATAAAAAGGGAAGCATTTCAAAAAATATATGAGCCCTGTTTGCAGTTAGATAGACACGTCTTTAAATAAAAAAAACCTGTTCGAAAAAAGTGATCCTGCATAGCATTATATGGGATAGCCTATTTTCGTGCCCTAATTTCCCTCATAGTTTCAACCATAAGCCTAACAATCTAATCCCAACACAAATTTTCCCAATTTCAATCCTAACCCCAACATACCCAGGAATTTCTTGTAGGGTAAATTGTACTGGTGGAGTACATGACTCCATGTGCAAGAGCATAAAGACTTTCACTGTTCTATTTGGAAACGTACCATAAAACTGTTCCTCTTTGACTGTGTAGGAGAGGGAGAACATACGACAACTCCCTTTCATCTGTATAGTGTTGTTAGCCTATAATATATTTTAAAGCGACAAAGTTCGTTTATAATGTTAATCCATAGCTTTTTTTATAAAAGTATAAATTATTGTGCAAATACGCCTTCTGAGGTGCACTTTTTAGTCTTTTCTTGCACAAACATAATAAGGAAATTGAGTTTTACTCATATATATCTATCTTGCCCGATTTTGAATAATAATGCTTCTTAACATAAGAAATGATATGTCTTTTTGCTGTTCAGTATCTGTTTTTATTTTGGAAATTGCGTTAGAGCTAAATGTTTCATGTATGAGTGATTATTAGATTCTCGAACGACTAGAGTAGCATGAAAAATTAGAGATAAGTATTTAAACGTGTGTAATTCATGCGACAGTCAGCCCCCTGAGATAAACAGAATGACGGAGTCAGTGTCCCAGACGATAGTTCGTTTAATGCCGAATGTAGGGGGAAAGTTTATTTAAGTTACTAGATGTCTTCATAAAACATGTGCCACGGAGTAGTAAATAAACGTATGATCACAGAATAATTCATCCAAAAGTCGCAACGTTGTTGTAGATTAGCTAAAGCAAATGGCGTTTGCATTTTCAACAGTGATCCAAACAAAGCCCGAAAAAGAGTTAGTGAGCTGCCAAATTAAGTGGAGACTTTAAGGTGAGAACAAAAACTCTAAAATTTTAGTGAGAGAACTTTACATCTACGGTTTACATTTGGTCATTTTCTTACGAAAACTTACTGAAGAATTTCGGATGAAAACAGTAAAGACCAGAATGGCGCTTTGCCTACGAGACACTTACCATTCAGTATCTATAATTTTATACTATGGGACAGCTTGAAGGCAGTTTATTAAGAAGTTACAGCGAACCTGTTCTACCTTGCGTTTAGAAGTTAATACACTAACGGTGTGGTTTTCATCAAGAAATTGCTAATAACAATAATATTCAAACCGCCTGGAAAAGCCATTGAAGCAATGAAACAGCGTCGACTAGAAAAGTAAGACTCGTGAAGTTTTGTCGATAACTGATTTTTTTATTACTTGCTGTCCGTCCCATTCCAAAAGCTTAGGCCCAACAAAAGTGTGTAAGATCGCGTTGGACGTAACAGTGTTGATTCATGCTCGGATGATGCATCTTTGTATGCCAGATTTTATGCTTAGTCGTTTGAGCATTTTTAAATAAATCTCGGAGTAATAAAAGTACTCTTCATACTTTGCTGATTTCCTTCCATAGACAATGTGGTCCATTCTCATTTCCTTCAAGGAAAAATAAGCATCCAGTTTAACATATAGCTTTGTACGTTCTCGTGTCTTTTATTGAAAAATTGAAGTAAACAAAGCATTTTCTCTTGCGGTTTGATAATAACTATTCGAAAACCATTACGTTTTATATGACGAGTTAATCACATCTTTGAACTTATCAATATAGGACGTTTTTTGAAATAAATATGGCAAACCCTAGATAATATCATTATTGATATTAAAAGCTAAGAAGTAATTTTGCGTTTGGGTAACATATGATGGCAATGTTGAGCGAAATAAACTTTGTGTACAGTTATTTTAAGAAACTTATGAGCGCCTGCGGTTTTCATTGAATAAAAGTGAAGAAACCGGCACTTTATATTAGATGAATTTTATGTTAGTGGATAGGTCAATTTTTATTTTAAACGTTAATAGAGGAAGACACAAAAATGTTACGTAATGGAGACCGGAGGAATTCCGTTATCTGCACGTGGACATATGGCTGCCGAAGTTTATTAGCACGCAGATAAAAAATGTTGTTTGAGAATTTAGACCTTCACATTGCAAAAGATTTTTCTGAACAGATTATCGGTTTTTATATGATCAATCAACTTACCAGAACTATCGCTGATATCTGGATCTTCAATCCTCCCCAAGGAAGCCGTATCGTGTCTCAAGTACTCTTCTTCGACCAATCCATGGTAAGTTAGGCTTCCTATACAAAGTTAATGATAAGTTGCATAGATTTTAAAAAATTCTCTGGTTACGAAGCACTAAAAGAACGCATGAATAAGGTTATTTTAAGAGTCAAAATAAGCATCAGTTGATTGTCAACAGATTTTCGAAATTTTCAAACTTCGAACGGTAGCAGAGTTTTGGCAAATTTAAATCAAAACAAAACTTCTTTCTCCGTCGCACTGACACAACAGACTACAAAAATTTCAAACTCTCGGACAAGAATGACTCCTCTGGATGTAATGTTATTGATAACTGAGTGAGGCAGAACTGCTTTTCACAAAAAACAAATAGTGAAGGCTTGGCACGCAGGGTGAAATGGGTAGTTTAGCTCTTATGATCGGAACGTTCGAGCGGTGCGCACATTGCATCAGCATCATTAATGCCGTTAGCAGTAGTTAACTGAAAATCAAGCAAACATCCCATATGACTTCGATATATCTGCACACCTAGTTGGAATCTAACGTCAAGAACATGTAATTGTTTTTTCTTGTCTAATTTAAACGGTAACAGATGAATTAGTGGAAGCCTGCGATATCCAAAAGTTGACACACGAGGTGTGCCTTACGTTGTTCAGAATACCAAATGAAATTCCAACAATCACAACATGCCGTCCAGCCTCTGAGAAACACGTGCTTATGTCGAATGCTTTACATCTTACTCGATACAAAGAATCGGCAGGCTACAACAACAATCTATTTCTTGCGCGTGATGTGGACAGTTAATGAGATAGAATGATTCTAAAAACCAAGACTGTTTATTCTTTTGTAATAATCACGCGAATTCAGTGGCCCTGAGAAATGGATAATATTTGTCACATTTCGTTTTTAATTGACTTAAACCAGCACGGGAAGTCAAACAGTGAGCGGTAAAAATCCTACTACATTTTGACAAATATCTTGTGAAGATCATGGCAACTGGGAAAAAGTAAAGCTTTAAGTTTGAGTGAGTCACCGGGCAATTTTAAAATCTAAAACGCAATTTGTGCTGTTTAAGATACGGCCGTCAGGTTGGCTCCAAATAGTCGTTGGATATGCCCCGGATACAATGTACGGCACGATAAGAATTCTTTCTTGACTAGGTTAAAATGTTTCTGAAAAGGCGAAGCATCGGCAGACTGAATATAACGAATCAGGTCAGACGATTTCAGGTGTAGTGGCTTTGAAAGCCGATTTACCCGTTAATTTTTTCTGGCGCTCCTCGTCAAGTGAAACGATTACAAGATCGTTTCCTTCGAAGTGACTTTCGCTCCCCAGCGGTCGGTACTTCAGAGGCACTAAGGTTAAATAAAATGTGCAGAATTATTTTTAGCATCGAAAGTGCACTAACTGCGATAAACCTTATTTACTCCTGCAGAAAAGCCATATTGGCCGAAGAGCGGGCTCTAGCAGAAAACATTTAATATATATATGACACCACGACCTGCCAGTGAGGCCACGATTATCTGCCCTACAAAAACGGCAACTTTTCTTACGGGTCACACGGATGGCATGACCAAATACTGTACAAGACGCAAAACATGGTGCAGTTAAAGTATGTAGAACCAGCCCGCCGATCTCGAAAGTGAACTCGTTTTACTGCGTTAAAGTATGCCGTTCGAGAGAAGGCCTAGCAAGAAAGCGTTGTTTGGAATGTTAAATGATATCTGAGAAGTGGTCTCGACGCTTTGGAAGGTTATGCAAGCGATGTTGCGCGCGATGATCATACGGGCTGCGCGAGCTTAGCTTACCATGTGGCGTGACACATGGCGACACCAAATACGCATGCCACTTGCCACATAAACAATCGTAAAAATAACGCTTTGCAACATTAATACTTCAAGAATAGCATTGAGACAATGCATGACTTAATGCAATAGCAGTAATTTGAGAATTTTCAGAGATAAAAAATTCCGCACATGACAGGGTTGTTCACTTGACCATTGGCGAATGTCTAGAGACAAATCAAAGTCAAATTGGCGCCAGACAGCAGATTTATTACTGCGAAAAATTGAAAAGCGACAGTTGCTGACTATGGAAAATAGGCGTCTTGCAGCCAAGCGGTCAAAACATGTCCTTTCAGTGATGTCGTCGACGATGAGATGCCTTTGACAGTAAAAAAGCTAGTACAACACAAGAGGCAGTGATTTAAATTTATCTATGAACGGGAGCAAAACGTATGGGCTCTCCTAACATGCATCTTCATGCAATTCGTAGTTTTTAGTTTGAATATTTTGCGTGAGCCGCGGCAGCAGTAAATTACTGGAATTTGCTGAACTGCCCAAGTTTAAGCTTATCAAATACCGAACACCATGCCGTCCTCCAAGACAAGCTGATTTTGGGAACATATTCAAGGCAAATGATAAAATTGATTCAACTGTCAGTAAGTATAATCAACGACATGAAACTCCGAACGTATAAAGAGTTTCGCGACAATGACAGGTCGTGTAACCTTAGTTTGTGGCCAGTAACCCCACGCTCATTAAGTACGAGAATGTTAGAAGTAGGGGTTTCACAGGCGCGGCATCACCGAGGAGGGCGAAGAAATGCCGCGCTAACACATAAAATAGGTAGATTTCCTTCAAATTCTTTTTTTAACGCCCACGCATAGTAACGGAATTGGGTGCACTAATGAAAGAATTAAAAATAAACAACTCTCAATAAATCGAAGGTAACCGAATAATCCGCCACTCTCAAATTTGGGACACCTCAGGAACCTGTGGAACGAACAACCAAAAAGAGAGAAGAATGGTAGGTGCCAAATATTCCAACTGCCGAAGTAAACTGCGAGGCGGTCTAATGAACATACGTATTAGTGAAGTTATAAAAATACAATCTACTTGACAAGAAAAAAAGTCAAGTAACGTAATAATGAACACCTGTTTGCATATTCACAATACGCATACTGACTACTGCGAAATAGAACTTTAGGGATAATAAATATTTATATGCAAAATTTATGTACATTAATGAGATACATTTATGGACAGGATAGGTGACAATGGTGGTTCTTTCCTTTTAAAACATAGAT